AGTTATTACCTAGCAACCCTTGCAATGCAGATGAATAGATCCACAGGAAAACTTGTATGCATAATTGTATTTTAATCTTATTGTACATAAGTTTGTGAAAGGGTTAAATGTTAAAAATTGTTACTTCATGTATTCGTTTATATTTCATATTAGGCTATATCGTGTCTGATGATATCTTTGTTATAATTTCCTTTTCTGATATATCGAAATGGATTCCTAAAATCTCATAAATTTATAACTTTAGAAATGATTCTAATAACAAAGAACATAATTGTAACATAGTCTAACGTTGTATGCTATGAAGCCATTTCTCTCCTGATTTTTAGTGAATTTTTACCACAGCAAATTTGATTCTGGCTCATTTTCAATCAACTAAATAAACTGACAGAAAATTTTGGAAGTTCTAAAGATAAAATACCGAATGAAATAACACAAAACTAATTTATAATAAGTAAAAATAAAAAGCTAGTATGATGGAATAAACTTGAGTGTCCAGAAATGAACCCACACATCCGTGGTCAACCAGTTTCTGACAAGGGTACAAGGACCATTCCGTGGGGAAAGAATAGTCTTGTCAATACATGGTGCTGAGAAAATTGGCTATCACACGCGAAAGAATGACTTTGGGCTTCTACCACGCACCATATACAAAAACTAACACAAAATTTATCAAATATCTAAATGTAAAAGCTGAAACCATACACTCTTAGAAGGAAACATAGGTGAAAATCTGTATGACCTCGGATCAGGCAACAGTTTCTTAAACATGACACTAAAAGCACAAGCAACAAAAGAAAAAACATAGATCAATTAAATTTCACCAAACTAAAAAAAACCTTTGTGCACCAAAGGACGCTAGTAAAAAAGTGAAAAGACATTGGCTGGATCTTCAACCGCCCTAAGGAAAAGGAAAAAAAAGAAAAAGAAGAAAAAGAAAGTGAAAAGACAATCCACAGGATGGGAGAAAATAATTTGTAAATCATGTATCTGGTAAGGGTTGTGATATTATGGATTATATTATGTTTTAATCCACGGTCCCTGGCTCATAACTCCCAAAGCCCTTGTTAAAGTCTGAAGTTATAATGTTGGGATGCTTTAACCTTCCGAAGCAAAAATTTCTCTCTGAGTTTCTCCTGTCCTCCTGTCTCTGGTCCCTCATCCTCCCCCGAGGCTAGCCATAGAAACTAGGATCCCACTTCCATAAGGCAGGTCTTAGAAACCAGAACTCCTTTTCCCCAAAGCCAGCAATAAGACCTAAAATATTATTCTACCCCCGTCCTTTCTGCATAAGAACTGGCCATAAGGAAATTATCTGACCTACCTTGTTTCACTGTAGGTCATCAGGCCCTCATTCCAGAGTAGCTCCTGCCCCATTTCCTGGGGAAAGGAACGCTGCACAGAGAGGCCAAGAAGAATCTGAACAGACAGGTCTTGCTGGGTTTCCCCACTCAGTCTATTAGTGTCAGATCATACCGTTGTTGTCCACACGATTATCCATGTTTCAGTCATGTCCATCCAATGGAGTCTCCATAAAAGGCCCAAGAAGTCAGGGTACAGGGACCTTCTGGATACTTAAACAGCTAGAGGCTTACAGGGGAAGTGAACAAGAGCTCATCCACGTGCTGGAAGTTGGTGCACCCTTACTCCAGGGGGACAGAAGTTTCTGTGCTGGGGACCCTTCCAGACGTTGCCCTACATATGTCTTCATCTGGCTGTTTATTTGTATCCTTTAAAATATCCTTTGTAACAAACCAAAGCTTTGCCCTGGGTCCTGTGAGCCCACCTAGCAAATTAATCTAACCCAAAGAGGGGATTGCAGGACCCCCAACTTGAAGCTGGTTGGTCAGGAGTTCCAGAGGCCCAGACTTGTGACTGGTGGGCAGGAAGGGGGTAGTCTTGGGGACTGAGCCCTCAACCTGTGGGATCTGACGCTATCTCCAGGTGGATAGTGTCGGAATTGAATTGGAGGACACCCAGCGGGTACCTGCTAAAGAATTGATTGCTTGCTTGGTATATGGGGAGAAACCCACACACATTTGGTCACAGAAGTCTTCTGTGTTGATTATTTTTGTGATGTGAGAGCAGAGGAAAAACAGTTTCTGTGTTTTTTCCACTCATGGGTCTGGTATCCAGAATTTATAAAGAATTCTCATAACTCAACAAGAAAAAGACAAAACCCTAATTTAAAAAATGGCCAAAGACTTGAGTGACATTTCTCCAAAGATTTACAAATGGCCAATAAGCATATGAAAAAATGCTCAATATCATTAGTTTCATATTCCTGGACTCAAGAGATGATCTTGCCTCAGCTTCCCAAAGTGCTAGGATTACAGGTGTGAGCCACCACGCTCAGCTTAATATCACGAGCCATGTGATTAAAACCACAATGAGAAACTACTTCATACCCACTAGGATGGCTATAAACAGAAAAATAAATGATAACATGGCTATAAACCAAAAAATGAATAATAACAAGTGCTGGAGAAGTTGGAACCCCTCATATATTGATTGGTAGAAATGTAAAATGGTGTAGCAGTTGCGGAAAAGTTTGGTTGTTCCTCAAAAGTTAAATATAGAATTACCATATGACAAAGCAATTCTACTCCTGGGTATATATCT